GAATCGAATCAAAATCGAAACGAGTTGAGAATCGAAATCAATTGAGAATCGAAATCGAATTGAGAATCGAAATTGAATTGAGAATCTAATCAAATTATTTGAGAATCGAAATCGAATTGAGAATCGAAATCGAATTGAAAATCGAATTGAGAATCAAAATGGAATTGAATTGAGAGCTTGCGGATCAAAATGGAATTGAATTGGAACATCTGAATCGATACCCAGCCGTTTTTTTAACTGTCCCAGCAGTGGCACATTAATAATGCAGAGGAACAATAAACTCACTCAAATGCATTAAAATTGTAACTAACTAACTAGGCTTCATAAAACATGAATGTTGACCTGGCTTTGACACTGAACATCATCTTGCAGAGAGACAGAGATGAACAAGCGCTAACCTGGATCCGGTTCGGGTTCGGCTGAAGTCTCCGGGTTCGTCTTAATCTCGGGTTCTGCTTGATGAACTCCAGCCGTGACACACGGACATAATCCAGAACACAGAACGGACAGATCCTTCCCCGCCAAACACGCCTGCTGCTCCAGCTTACACTGATCACACACACACACACACACACACACACGCGCGCACACACACAGAGCTTCTGTTTCACTTCATATGTCTCAAAGCAACAATCTGATTCATAATTCATCAGGTCTGAAAGGCTGAAGATGCTCGTTCTCTATTCAGGATGAAGAGCGTTAATGCTCGTTAATACACTTCTGCATTCAAACAGTCAATAAATACATTTAAGTAAAAGTAAATCTATAAAATTAACTAATTAATTAATTAATTCATTAATTAAATTAATATAAAATAAAGTAAATTCATAAAATAAACACAATTCATAAAATAAACACATTTAAACAAAGTAAATCTATAACATAAATAAATACATTTAAAATAAAGTAAATCTTTAAATAAATATATTTAAAATCATCTAATTCTATAAAATAAATGCGTTTAAAACAGTACATCTACAAAATAAATAAATGTAAAATTGCGTAATTCTAAATAAATACATTTAAAAGAATCTAATTCTATCAAATAAATGTGTTTAAAAGAGTAAATCTATAAAATAAATACATTTAAAATAATGTAATTTTATAAAATAAATACTTAAATGTAAAATAACGTAAATGAATAAATACATTTGAAATAATGTAATTCCATAAAATAAATAAATACATATGAAATGAATAAAATACATTTAAAATAAAGTAAATCTATAAATAAATAAATTTCAAAGAACGTTATTCTGTAAAATAATTACATACATTTAAAATAAAGTAAATGAATAAATACATTTAAAAATAAAGTAAATCAATAAAATCAAACAATCAATCAATGTAAAATCAAGTTAATCTAAAAATAAGTAAATAGATTTTAAAATGAAAATAAATAAATACATTTAAACTAAAAACAATCCAAATAAAACATGAAAATATTAAATATTTTATTTGTTTTACCTGCATGTCAACCGACAGCAGAGAACCGTGAACATGTGAATGAGTTGTTCAATTATTGAAATATTAACTTAAAAATCTCTGATGAGAAAGTTTCAGTCTCTCTGCAGATTTAAGGACGCGAGTGCGAACTCTAGTGACGGAGCGCGACCTTCACGAGCGACACTCCTTCAGCACAGAGATCGATGGATGTGCAGCGTTCTCAGAGTGTGTTTGTGTGTGTGTGTGTGTGTGTGCGTGCGTGTGTGTGAGTGTGTGTGAATCACTACAGTTGATGAATGTGTCGGACCGCTCTCCTCCTGGTGACTGTATGGATTCATGCACCGTTTTTAATTGTGACCTTGTGTGCAAGAGTCTCTCTCTCTCTCTCTCTCTCTCTCTCTCTCTCTCTCTCTCTCTCTCTCTCTCTCTCTCTCTCTCTCTCTCTCTCTCTCTCTCTATCTGAAAGAGCAATCTTGTGGTCATTCCTATAAATATTTGATCTGGTTCCAGCTCAAGCCTTGATGTTCTCACTGCAGCCTAGACACAGTGTGTGTGAAATGATGTGCGTGCGTGCGTGTGTGTGTGTGTGTGTGTGTGTACCTGCGAGGTGTACATTTGTCCGTCTGAGTGTGAGTGAGTGTGTGTGTGTGTGTGTGTGTACCTGCGAGCCGTAGATGTGTTTGTCTAAGTGTGTAAGTGTGAGTGTGTGTGTGTGTACCTGCGAGGTGTACATTTGTCCGTCTGAGTGTGAGTGTGTGTGTGTGTGTGTGTGTGTACCTGCGAGCCGTAGATGTGTTTGTCTAAGTGTGTAAGTGTGAGTGTGTGTGTGTGTGTGTGTACCTGCGAGGTGTACATTTGTCCGTCTGAGTGTGAGTGTGTGTGTGTGTGTGTGTGTGTACCTGCGAGCCGTAGATGTGTTTGTCTAAGTGTGTAAGTGTGAGTGTGTGTGTGTGTGTGTGTACCTGCGAGGTGTACATTTGTCCGTCTGAGTGTGAGTGTGTGTGTGTGTACCTGCGAGCCGTAGATGTGTTTGTCTAAGTGTGCAAGTGTGAGTGTGTGTGTGTGTGTGTGTGTGTACCTGCGAGCCGTAGATGTGTTTGTCTAAGTGTGTAAGTGTGAGTGTGTGTGTGTGTGTGTGTGTGTCTGTACCTGCGAGGTGTACATGTGTCCGTCTGAGTGTGTGTGTGTACCTGTGAGGTGTACATGTGTCCATCTATATGTGTGTGTGTGTGTGTGTGTGTGTGTGTACCTGCGAGGCGTAGATGTGTCCGTCTGAGTGTGTGTGTGTGTGTGTGTGTGTACCCGCGAGGTGTAGATGTGTCCGTCTGAGTGTGTGTGTGTGTGTACCTGTGAGGTGTAGATGTGTCCGTCTGACTGTGTGTGTGTGTGTGTACCTGCAAGGTGTAGATGTGTCCGTCTGAGTGTGTGTGTGTACCTGTGAGGTGTATGTGTGTGTGTGTGTGTGTGTACCTGCGAGGCGTAGATGTGTCCGTCTGAGTGTGTGTGTGTGTGTGTGTGTGTGTGTGTGTGTCCCCGCGAGGCGTAGATGTGTCCGTCTGAGTGTGTGTGTGTGTGTACCTGCGAGGTGTAGATGTGTCCGTCTGACTGTGTGTGTGTGTGTGTGTGTGTGTACCTGCAAGGTGTAGATGTGTCCGTCTGAGTGTGTGTGTGTGTGTGTGTGTGTGTGTGTGTGTGTGTGTGTGTGTACCTGCGAGGTGTAGATGTGTCCGTCTGAGTGTGTGTGTGTGTACCTGCGAGGTGTACAAGTGTCCGTCTGAGTGTGTGTGTGTACCTGCGAGGTGTAGATGTGTCCGTCTGAGTGTGTGTGTGTGTGTGTGTGTACCTGCGAGGCGTAGATGTGTCCGTCTGAGTGTGTGTGTGTGTACCTGCGAGGTGTACAAGTGTCCGTCTGAGTGTGTGTGTGTGTGTGTGTGTGTGTGTGTGTACCTGCGAGGTGTAGATGTGTCCGTCTGAGTGTGTGTGTGTGTACCTGCGAGGTGTACAAGTGTCCGTCTGAGTGTGTGTGTGTACCTGCGAGGTGTAGATGTGTCCGTCTGAGTGTGTGTGTGTGTGTGTGTGTGTGTGTACCTGCGAGGCGTAGATGTGTCCGTCTGAGTGTGTGTGTGTGTACCTGCGAGGTGTACAAGTGTCCGTCTGAGTGTGTGTGTGTGTGTGTGTGTGTGTGTGTACCTGCGAGGTGTAGATGTGTCCGTCTGAGTGTGTGTGTGTGTGTGTGTGTGTGTGTACCTGCGAGGCGTAGATGTGTCCGTCTGAGTGTGTGTGTGTGTGTGTGTGTGTACCCGCGAGGTGTAGATGTGTCCGTCTGAGTGTGTGTGTGTGTGTACCTGTGAGGTGTAGATGTGTCCGTCTGACTGTGTGTGTGTGTGTGTACCTGCAAGGTGTAGATGTGTCCGTCTGAGTGTGTGTGTGTACCTGTGAGGTGTATGTGTGTGTGTGTGTGTGTGTACCTGCGAGGCGTAGATGTGTCCGTCTGAGTGTGTGTGTGTGTGTGTGTGTGTGTGTGTGTCCCCGCGAGGCGTAGATGTGTCCGTCTGAGTGTGTGTGTGTGTGTACCTGCGAGGTGTAGATGTGTCCGTCTGACTGTGTGTGTGTGTGTGTGTGTGTGTACCTGCAAGGTGTAGATGTGTCCGTCTGAGTGTGTGTGTGTGTGTGTGTGTGTGTGTGTGTGTGTGTGTGTACCTGCGAGGTGTAGATGTGTCCGTCTGAGTGTGTGTGTGTGTACCTGCGAGGTGTACAAGTGTCCGTCTGAGTGTGTGTGTGTACCTGCGAGGTGTAGATGTGTCCGTCTGAGTGTGTGTGTGTGTGTGTGTGTACCTGCGAGGCGTAGATGTGTCCGTCTGAGTGTGTGTGTGTGTACCTGCGAGGTGTACAAGTGTCCGTCTGAGTGTGTGTGTGTGTGTGTGTGTGTGTGTGTGTACCTGCGAGGTGTAGATGTGTCCGTCTGAGTGTGTGTGTGTGTACCTGCGAGGTGTACAAGTGTCCGTCTGAGTGTGTGTGTGTACCTGCGAGGTGTAGATGTGTCCGTCTGAGTGTGTGTGTGTGTGTGTGTGTGTGTGTACCTGCGAGGCGTAGATGTGTCCGTCTGAGTGTGTGTGTGTGTACCTGCGAGGTGTACAAGTGTCCGTCTGAGTGTGTGTGTGTGTGTGTGTGTGTGTGTGTACCTGCGAGGTGTAGATGTGTCCGTCTGAGTGTGTGTGTGTGTGTGTGTGTGTACCTGCGAGGCGTAGATGTGTCCGTCTGAGTGTGTGTGTGTGTGTGTGTGTGTGTGTGTGTGTGTGTGTACCTGCGAGGCGTAGATGTGTCCGTCTGAGTGTGTGTGTGTGTGTGTGTGTACCTGCGAGGTGTAGATGTGTCCGTCTGAGTGTGTGTGTGTGTGTGTGTGTACCTGCGAGGTGTAGATGTGTCCGTCTGAGTGTGTGTGTGTGTGTGTGTGTACCTGTGAGGTGTAGATGTGTCCGTCTGACTGTGTGTCTGTGTGTGTGTGTGTGTGTGTACCTGCGAGGTGTAGATGTGTGTGTGTGTGTGTGTGTGTA